ACACACTACATATACACACTATATACACTACATATACACACTATATACACACTATTAATACACACTATATACACACTATATACACACTATATACACACTATATACACACTACACATACACATTATATACACGTATGAATTTAATTAACTACTTTAAAGATTAAGCTCACTGTAACAAGTCTACACATTTAGATTAGGGCCCTACAATAATATTTCTTACATCAACTAACGTGACTAATTTAAATATCAGGGTCAGGACCCTACAATATCTTTTACTGTATAAATCTACGTGACTCATTTAAACACATACGTGTAACGTAGAGGTTGTTTAGAATATATCTGAAAGGATTCAGCGACACAAACAAAACTGGAATTTGAGGGAGACACACTAAAGCTATTCTCTCACCGGGGCCTGATGCCCACACAGTCCCACCATCTGATGTTATCGTCCAGATGTAATGGAACCGCTGGAGGCTAAATGTTTGGGTCGCAGCCATCCCCGTGCATCGCTAACCATCTCCAGACAGACAGGATTAGCCGTCACGCCTTCCTGGAGTGTCTGATCAGAGGAATGTTAAAGGAACGCACAGGACAGCGGCTCTCATTACATTATCATTCCTATCCATCTGTTCCTATCGTGTTAATCAAGACGTCCGCTTCAGGTTCCTCATTTCACTTCACTTCCAGCTGTTCTGGCTTTTTAAATGAAGTGTCCTAATTAAATGTTTTTATCATCTCGCTAACTTTCCTGTGATCTCCTGCATCTCCGTGAGCTGCTGCCTGATAATGAAGCCGACGCTGCTCCACAGAGAACACACTCTACGATAGTCTACAGGCTACTGGGCTGAGCCGGGCTGAGCCGGGCTGGACACGAAGCCTGTCCGAGCTCTCTTTTCTAAACCGGCTGTTAGTTGTACTGACCAGCTAACCAGGTCAGCCGGAGCTGTTCAGAAAGCATAGATCTCCTTCTACTACAGTTGTATCTCCTGCAAAGTGCACAGGAGACCCCAAAACGAGGAGTTAGCCCGGCCAACTGAAACGTATCTCATGGACCCCAGTTTTCTGGTCGGACTTTTAGAGCAGACACGAGGGAAGTTAACGAGGACGTGCAAACAGGTATCGTAGACCTGCTGCAGTACCTGATTGCTCCACCAGGTGGAACCAGAGGAGGCGAAGGATCATGGGAACGTTAATGTTCACATCCAGATTATTAAAGGCAGAGGCAGTGGGGGGGTTAGCTAACGAGGTGGTTAACGAGCTTCTACTGAAATTAGAACCAGGCTGTCAGAGTAAATCACTGAAAGCTGCTGAATGAACTCAGATAAAGTCACCTTATTAGAATTATACTGAATGAAAATGACAAAGTGTTCAACAAGACGCTCATTAAGACAACTTCCACTGTGGTGTGTTTACAAGTGAGGATCTTAGAAGTTTGTTGGTTGAACTGGTCAGAGCAGAAAATCTAAACATCACTGACAAGCAGCAGCAGCAGCACATGGTACTGGTTCCTTTATTTCTAATGTAATGACTGCACGAGGCTGGTTTGATTCATTTGTAAATTCTCTGGTTCCAGCTTCTTACTGAGAACATGTCCTGGTTCTGTCCCCCTCTGAGCCGGACCACCTCCTGCTGCTGCCTCCCGTGTTGTTGTGTCACTACGCTGCCAGCAACTTAACAAGACCCATACATGTGAACGGTGGTGTCGGTGGAGCGGTTCTGACCTGAGCAGCAGCAGCAGCAGCAGCTTCCCGGCGGTCGTGGCTCCCGCCGCGGGCAGCGTCCTCCTCCTCCTCATGTCGGTCCGGAGGCGCGGGTCGCTCCGCTGTCCTGGCCCCTGTGGACGCGTTCAGCACCGCGGACAGCTACACGGAGCTCATGCCGGAGTCACGGCGCGCTGCCGACCTCCATCACCCGGAGCGCACGGCGGAGCGCAGGCGGCTGGAAAAGGCGAAGGAAAAGGGGAAAAAAAAAAAAAAAAAGAAACGCGGACGCAGCGCGCGGCAGCTGTTCAGACGGAGCTCTGAGCCCGGTCTGCGGCCGGTGAGGCTCCGGGCCACCGAGACCCGCCCTCGGTCCGGATTGGCACGACGGGCAGCCGGCTCGGCCAATGGCACCGTGCGCTGGTAGCTGCTCCAGCTGAAGCGCATCTGAAATTAGAAGCCCAGCGAGCCGGATCAAATGGAACAGCCAGCCGAGCGTTATCCGCCCCTACACGTCCCCGCGCATCCTCTCCGCCCGCCTCCATCTGTCGGCGCTGCCCTTCTGCTCCGCTGGGCCGCAGCAGAGCCGCATGTGGCCGCGCTCCGCCGCTGACGGTGGGCCATATGTGGCTGAGGAGGGGAGAGGCGCTGACTGCGGGGAGGACGTCCACGGAGGCGCCCGGAGGCAGAGAGGAGGCTGGAGCCGGCTGGACCTCAGCACCGACACCCGGACTCGGTTACAAACCGCACAGCGCGGACCGAGGCGCGCACATGGAGAGTCCGGGAGTCCGGTTCTGAGACAGTAAAACGAGGCCGAACCAGAATCCAAACAGCTCAAGTTACGAGAACAACACTTAATACTGAATATAAAGTACGAACAGTTCGGATGAATAAGAAACAGGTTTAGATGTTACTTGTAGGAACTTGTTACTGAGAGGACGGTTCCACAGGTCTGGAGCAGCTCCGAACCCTGACCACAGTGTGTGTCTGTGTTCTGATTCTTGGATTCGCTGCACCGAACCAACAGAAGTCTCAAAAACAAAAGTTCTGCAAAGTTCTACTGATGCGTGAAGCAGCTCCAGGTAGAAGCTGTCAGACGGTTCTGCACGAGCTTCTCTAAAACGTTTTCCGACTGTTCCGCTGAGAACATCCTCCCTTCACCAGGAAACACTGTGGTTCTCAGCAAACATCCTCAGAACATCTTCAGAACCTTGCAGGCGAACCAAGGACTCGTTCTTGGATGACTTCTAACCTCACAGGAACCTTACCGGAAATGAACGATACTGAAATGTTTTTTAAACGTTCTCTGTGAAACATTATTAGAACCTGTAGGTAACGTTAGAAGGAGGTTGATCCAGTTGGAGCTGGTTCTCCAGGTTCATGTCAGGTGAATTTTAACTGGTTCCTGTCAGATCAACAGATCGCTGCTGTCAGCTTCACCTGTTGGGTTTCGGTACCGATCAACAAAATCAAGCTGATCGATCCAGATAACTGTCGCCACCGACGCACAGAGAATAAATGAGATTAATGTGATCAAACACACTTTCTGCAGTTTGACCTGTTTAGTTAAAATCTTTCTGTCCTTCCTCTAAAGTCCTCAGAGTTCACCTCCACCTGAACACGGAGTCACCTTCCTCCGATGTGAAAACCTGCTCAGAGCTGTTCTCATCGTCTCAGTGTCACCAAAAGCCTCAGCAGCAACGTGAACCTCCAGCAAAACCGAAGCAAAGACAACCGATTATTTACCATAAATCAGTCACCAAGTGTAGGAAGGCGGGAACCAGACACACTAGCACGTTAGCTAAACAACAAGCTAGGCTAGCGGACCAATGCTAGGCTAGGGGGCACAGAGACAAAGCTAGGCTAGCGGGCCGATGCTAGGCTAGCGGGTCGAGGCTAGGCTAGCGGACCAATGCTAGGCTAGCGGGCACAGAGACAAAGCTAGGCTAGCGGGCCGATGCTAGGCTAGCGGGTCGATGCTAGGCTAGCGGGCACAGAGACAAAGCTGGGCTAGCGGGTCGAGGCTAGGCTAGCGGCCGATGCTAGGCTATATTTCTGTCCATCTACAGTACAGACAGGTGGACGGACGGTTGTCATGGTTACGCTTTAAGACATACTGATAAATATGATAAACTCACTTTTTCAGTAGTTTGGTTTTTGTTGGACTGTAGCTCCACGAACGTTTCTTCTTCTTCTTCTGTTTTTCTTTTCATTCTTCTTCTTCTGTTCTTTTGGGTTTTTTTGTTTTTTGAGTCCTTTCTGAACCACTGGACTGTTCTCAACTGACTTCGGACCACTTGATGTCATTGCGGGAACATTTTGTTTTGTATTTTGGACCAACTTTAAGGGGTTTTAACTTGATGTGGTTATGGACATTTTTATTTGTCTGTTTTAATCATTGTGGACAATTTTTAGAACAACTTCTCAAATTTTAAGCAGGCTTGAACAATTATGGGTCATTTGAACAAGTTTCATTACAGTTATAATAATTTTTCTGTAATTTTCAAAGTTGTGGGGGTTGGATTTATTTATTTATCTATTTTAAAGTTGCTTTGTTAACTTTTAAAAACTATTTTTAAAAATTTCAAATGTTTTTTGTGAATTGTGGGAATTGTGTTATGACTGTTATAAATATAAATTTTATTTTATTTCTAATAATACAATTAATAATAATAATGTTGTTGATGATAATGATGATTATTGTTTTTGTTCTATTTATTATTATATCTTTTCTGCTCCTTCTTCTCTGTCTTGTTGTCTTTTTCCCACTTTCTCTTTCTTCTCTTCTTCCTCTCTTTTTCTGCTGTTTCATCTCTTCTTTTTCTTTCTTTTTCTCTCTCTTCTCTTCTACAGTCTTCTTGTGTGTGTCTGTTTGTGTGATTTCTTTACATGAATCTTGACATCTGATCTGCTGTGAACTTGGCAGGCGTGTCGCCGTGGACCAGAGGACATTTGCCGTTGAGACTGAAGCAGATCAGATGAACGGGATCCATTTATCAGCAGCGTATCGCTGCCTTTAACACGGTCAGCACTGAATGTCTGATCCAGGAGGCTGATTTCTGTGTTTGAAGCTCAGCTGTTCACAGTATTTACAGCCACAACAGCCTCATTTTACATTTTAAGCAGAAGTATTAGATTGAAAGAGCACAGCTGGAGCTACTACATTCAACTGAGCTTGTTTATTTATTCCAGAAAAGCAACATAAGTGATATGACAATGTTCCTGCTGCAGCTGTGGTCCTCCTCCTTGGACGCGTGAACAGCAGCTCTTCTTGCAGTGCATTTTGGGAAATTTGTCGAGAGCTGACAACTGATGCAGGGAGGTAAGTAGAGTTTAGAGAAGAGCTCAGACGAGGACGCTCTGCTGCCACTCAGACCTCCGTCCCTCACTAATGTGCAGGATATGAATTAGACATTAAGTTCAAGGTCTGACTGTGAAACTCTGAACACGACTGCTCTTCAGCTCTGCTCTGTTTTCTCCATCGTGTCCTGCAGAGACCTGAACTCACTCAGCTCCAGTGCCACTTAGCCAGTGTTAGCTTGTTAACATGTAACATACAGAACCTTATATCTGCTTAGCATTAGCATGTTAGCATCATGAGCATGCTGAGCTTTCGTTTCCGTTTCAACGTCGTCTCTTGACAGCAGTGGGATCAACCAGTCAGACTCAGACTGCAGAGTTCAGGCTGATTTACCTTCATTTCCCCTTTAGAGAAATCTGAGGGCTGAACTACGAAGAGAGATTCATGTCTCGGCAGGTTTGTTGAGCTTGAATTTGGAGTTTTCTGTGTGGCTCTCTGTTAACCTGCTAGATCTCCACGGTAACTGATGCTGCGGAGCTAGATCTCCATGGTAACTGATGCTGCGGAGCTAGGTCTCCATGGTAACTGATGCTGTGGAGCTAGGTCTCCATGGTAACTGATGCTGCGGAGCTAGGTCTCCATGGTAACTGATGCTGCGGAGCTAGGTCTCCATGGCAACTGATGCTGCGGAGCTAGGTCTCCATGGTAACTGATGCTGTGGAGCTAACCTGGTCCAGGTTCTGTTCAGAGTTTAGATTTAAGATGCAGAAATCACATTAATTTTTCCTTTATGTTTGGTCCGTATCCACTTCTGGTGGTGCAGCTGATCAATCACTGATTAGAACACTGATTATCTATTGGTATTTATATTCTGACATTTACCTGTTAAAGTCTGTGAGCACATCGCGCTAACGCTCCCCCTCAGAGGCCTCAGCTCGCAGACAGAACGTCACCTGGTGCTCCTCGGTGTTGTCGTGACCTCGCTGATTTCTTCAGGTGCTTGTTCTCTGTTGATGGAGATTTTGATGCTTTCTGAGTGTCGTCTGGGAGATCTGAGGATCTTTTTAATGGGAGCCTGGAGGGGACCAGAAACCACAGCTCCACACGTCAGCTCAAGACCACAGATGTAACACAAGCTGTGGGATAAAACACACACTGTAGGTTTTAAACGCTGTATGTGGAGCAGCTTAACAGACCTGAGACCAAAGTGTTTCGGCACATTTTCACTGAGCTCTGCGTCGGTTCTTCAGGTGTTTAGATTCTCGTTCTGCAGGAGACAACGAGCGCAAACATTCACCCAGCTGTCCATATTTATCTTTGTTCAATTTAGCTCTATTTTTTTTTTAGAGAGTTTATTGGAAAAACCCTAAAAATCTTCCCTCACATGGACAACAATCCGCCAGTTCCTCGCGTTCCTCCTTTCCGCTGGATGTCACTTCCACTCTGGGCTCCTTCTCGGCTCCCACTAAATCTACCATGGTTGACTGCAGCTTGTCACACGGATACTTTACATCACCAAGAACTTTTACAACATCGCCGGGAGACCGAGAAGAGTCAAAACAGTGTGGACGCCTGCAGACGTTCTTCTCTCTGTCGTAGAAAACATCCGGAAGGAACCAGTCTGTCCGTCAGATGAGAGCTGGCATCGGGCCTCACGCGGCCGGCTCGGGTCACTCGGCCTGCAAGGGGCCGCAGGCTGGACTCCATGGCGATCATCTGAACCCTGTTTGAAGTAAAATAAGAAGCAAAACAGGAACCCTCAGGAACAGAACACACAGAACACACAGAGGCCGG